TATCTATGACTATAAGTTATCAACACTCAACTTCTTCCTCTTCTTCCTCTTCATCTTCGCTGGTCGTATCTTCTTCAAATCCTTCATTGGTAGTTCCTACCACAAAACCTTCTTCGCTTAATTCTGAAGAATATCATAAGAGACTATTTCATAAAAAAATGGCTTGTGCCGCAGCAAATATTGCGGATTTTATAAAAAGATTATATAGGTAAATCCTTTTTGATTTTTATCTTTTCATTAACTTTATAATAACGCGTCTTTTCTTAATTTTTTTTTCTTCCGTAATTATAATTTTAATTGTCTATATTTGGTTTGAATAATTAAACTAACTATAATTTATTCAATTTTTTACCACGCGGATATTAATATAATAATCATTATTCCGTTTCACACTTATTTTGGTAATTTTTAATAATTAACTAATTAAAAAATGTATATATATATTATAAAATTTTATCTTCTTTTAGGCTTGGGAATTTCAACATCCAAAATTTCAACTTAATCGAAAAGATTTACTTGAAGATATAAAAAGAAAAATACCAACTCCTCGTAATAAAAATATTTCAAAACAAAATGTATCATCAATGTCTTCAATAAAAAGTGAAAGTAAAATTCATCATCATCATCATCAACAACATCATCAACAACAACAACAACAACAGCAACAGCAACAACAACAACAACAGCAGCAGCAGCAGCAGCAATTACAGCAACATCATAATCATCATTTTAATCGTAATAATCAAGAAGAATCTGATGATGGAACAACTTCTTCCATTAATTCGTTACAAAATACTATCTCCGATAATAATATTAATAATAATAATAATAATAATACAAACAATATTAATTCAACTTCCACTCATTCAAATATTTCCATTGATACACAAGATGATCTACGGTCTCAGGTAGAAAGTTTGACTGAATTACATGCTGATTTGGCTGGTCATGTTAATACTTTATCAAGAAATTGTGGTACTATTTTGGAAGAGATTATAACTTTTAAAAGAAATCTTGCTGCGCAAGATTCTTTATTATCTAATTTATATCAAATTTTAGCTCAACAATTTAACAACAATAATAATGTTAATGTTAATGTTAATGTTAATACATCACAATTGAACCCTACTAATAATAATACCACCAACAATAACAACAACAATAACAACAATAACAACAACAACAACAACAACAACAACAACAACACCAACAACTCAAATAACAACAATACCAACTCTACTAATACCTCTACTAATAATTCTTCATCCAATAGAAGATATTCTTCAATTTCTTTAAATCAACCTATAAATTCTACCAATAATGATACTTCAACTCATGATTATCATAATTCAGGTGGTTCACCTTCATCTTTTATGTCATCAATACAAGAAAATTTAGTGTTAAATACATTAATACGATCATCTATTTCAACTACTACAACATCAACAGATAATAATAACAATACTACAACCAATTTATCATCTGGTGAAACTTCTTCAATATTACCTTTAATGAATGAGATGTTTTCGGAAGCTTACGCTGTAGCTGTTAACGCTGCTCAACAATCAACTTTAAATTTAAATCAATTTAATACTCCAAATCCTTCCCCTCCTATAACCACTGCTACAAATAATCGATTATTTTTTCGTGGTAATTCCGTACCTAATTGGTCAATACAACCAAAAATTTTATTCGTTGATGATGAAATATTCGTTAGAGAAGGTAGTAGTCAATGGTTTCAAGCTTATGGTTGTCAATTCGATGTTGCTGTTGATGGTATAACTGCTGTTAATAAAATGCAAATTCATCAATATGATATTATCTTTATGGTAATTATCTTTTTTTTTTTTATATAAACTTTTTTTTTTAAAAAAATAATAACCCGATTTTTCTTTAGGATATTGTATTGCAAAGTGAATTTGATGGATTAAGTGTAACTCAACAAATTCGAAGATTTAATAATGAAATACCAATAATAGGTATGCCACCACCACATTCATCATCTAATTCAAATAATAATCAATCCGCGAATAATTCAACAAATGCGGATTATGTGAATTATTTACGTAGTGGCATGAATGATTTATTACCAAAACCATTTACAAGACAAGAACTTTATGATAAAATAGATAAATTTTGTAGTCATTTAAAAGTTAATAATGTGTTAGTATCTCCTTCTTCTCAAAATGATGCTGATAATTCAACTACGATACAACAACAACAGGCTGGAATTAGGAGACAAAGTAGAACTTTAAGTAGTATTAGTAATAATTTAAATGCTACTAATGTTATAACAAATGCTCATGATACAACACAACAACAGCAACAGCAACATCAAATAAATTATTTATCTGCTTCTCAAATCGATTTATATCAACAGCAAAATGCAGGACAAATACATCGATTAAACGATGATGATTTAGATGATTTGGGTTCAATAAATAATGAAAATTCAAGAAAAAGAAGAAAATAAAAAAAAACATTAATAATCTATAAAATACGTTGGAAGTTCATTAGTAAAATATTGAAATTTTCCTTTCCATTTTTATGAACAATTTAACCCCTTTTTTTTACGGAGTATGGACATTTAACATATGGGAAACATTTGGTTTTTTTTTCCACGATAATATTAAGCTTTTCCACAAACCACCAAATTAATAAACGATATAGGATCTTTGTATATATAAAAATCCACATTTTACATATTGTCGACTTTAAGTATCAAAAAAAAAAAAAAAAAAAAACAAAA